CCCCCGCCCGGCCCGCCCGCCAGCACCCCGAGCCCAATAATCCCAAACCCCATGCCCATCCGCGTCCCAATCATAGATTGATCCGCCGTCAACCCCACAAAACACAACGGCGGCAACCCGATCAACGCCCCGCTAAAGAACCCCGCCACGAGCGCGACGCCCACCAACCCGCCCAGCGTCCTCACCCCCACCATGACAAACAGACACCCCGCCACGACCAGACAGCATGGGGCGATCAGATTGAACGGCCCCAGCCGATCGGCCAGGGCGTTGGGGAGGGTGCGCCCGAAACACGAGGCCGCGTTGAGGATGGGCACGATGTAGAACGCCATGTGCTCGGTGGCGATGCGCCGCTCCTCCGCCGCGAAGGAGATGTAGAACAGCAGCACGAACAGCCCCATGAACACCAGCAGCGACGCCCCCACGAAGAGGCAGTAGTGGAGGTCCGTGCAGGCGGCGCGGTCGATCAGGGCGCGCACGCGCGCAGGGGGGTATGCGCGCTGCCGCATGACGGCGAGCGGAAGCGCGAGGGTGGCCAGCGCCACGAAGCCGATGATGCGCACGGCCCAGGCGAAGCCTACTTGAGGGAGGAGCCGGTACAGCATCACAGGGTAGATGATTCCGCCGACCGAGGAGCCCGACACGGCCAGCCCCGTCGCGAGCCCCAGCCGGCTGCTGAAGTAGCGAGGGTAGCACCGAGACGCACGGCACGAAGAGGCAGCCCGCGCCGAGGCCGATCAGCAGGCCCTGCGAGAGGAGGATTCGGTAGTATTGCGTGCTGAGGCTGAGGAAGACGTGGCCTAGGAATATGCAGGTCGTGCCGCATGCTAACAGCGCCACGAGGTGGCCGCGGTCGTAGATCGGGCCCGTGATCGCCCCGATGACGAGGAGGAGCGTCGCTTGCGTCGACCCGATCCACGAGATCGCGCTGGCGCTGGCGGTCGTCGTGCTCGCGTAGTGGGTTTGGAAGACCCCGAACGTGTTTAGGAGGCCCCATGTGTTGAGGAGGAGGGCGAACCCTGGAGCCAGGCGCGGAGGCCGCCGTTGGGTGCGGGGGAAATACGAGGGGGTGGGGGTGGGGTCCGGGGTGGTGTGGGTTTTTTCGGTGGAGGGGCTGGTTGGCGTTGAGGTGAGGGAGGGGGTTGTTTGGGTGGATGCGTCGAGCATTTTGGTGGCTTAGAGGTGTCTTGATGGTGCAGGTATCTAGATGGTAGAATGCAGAATGCAGAAATCTGGGGAATGTGACTGTCCGTGCCAGTAGGGGCGTTGATAAAATACAGCCTGCAGGGCGTCCGAGTTAGGGCTCGGAGACGGCGTTTTCGGGGTTTTGGCCAGTTGGTGCTATTCTCCGGGTGGTTACAGGTTGACTTTGCGAGGCGCGCAGCCACTGTCTTACGGTGGGTTGAGAGGGTTTGGATAGGAGGGGATTCTCTCGGATTATCCTTGACTCTTGGCCAATGCTTTCGATGGCTAGGTCGATACTCTCCGACTGACCACCTGGCAAGGAAGTTTGGTTGCTTTGGTGGGAGGGGAAAGCCACACGAGCTAGGGTCTTACAGTACCGTAGACATACTTCTGTCTTCCCTGGAGATACTTGAAAGCAGTATAGCTAGCTAATAAGGCTGCAGAAGAGATCTTCAAGCAGGCAGTTGCTCGTCACCAAAACCACCGTGTATGTGCCTGATGCGCCTGCCTGATGCGCCGCCCCGTTGGTTGCTACAACTCGGAGCCGCGGGGGACCAACAGAATGAATCAAGTCAAAGGGTTGGGTGGAAAAGGCTAGCTTGAAGCTTGCCTAGAGGCGAATGGATCTACGCATGGTCAACGGAAATGGTTTGCATTGTGGCGGTTTGGTCGAATTGATCCATCAGGGCTGGATTTTCTGGGCACAGTAGATGAAAAGAAAGTATGAGATTTCGCTACGACGGCAGCTCGACAAGAAGTGTTAGCAGATGGCCAAGTAAGATTGTGTATATCCGAAAGTTGCTTGTGTCCTTGTGCCGCACATCAGCCATTCATACAGGGTCAATCTCGCTGCATTATTACGACAGTGTTGCTGCGCCATCAAGTCTAGTCCACCCCCATCTTCTCCCTATACAGCCCAACGGCCTCCGCCTTCATCGCCTCATCATCGAAATACCAGATCTTATGGAACCGGGCCTTGAGCTCTTCAAAGCAAGTCTCCGCCTTGACCCATTTGGACGGCTCGCCCCATTCGATCTGATGGTAGAAATCACGCACCGTGCGGCTGCTGTTCACCAGCCACTGGGTTCGCGTGCGGCGGAAAGCACCAAACGTCTCAAAGGCCGTCTCCAAGACGGTCCCCTTGAGCGTCGGCTGCTTGCGGATGATCTCCACCACCTCCACCATAAGACTCGACAAACACAGCGCATCCTCAATCCCCATTCCTGCCCCGGCCCCGTGGTGTGGAGTAGAAGCGTGCGCCGCGTCACCGGTCAGGCAGATCTTCCCCCGACTATAATACGGTGCCGGGTACTCCCACAGATCAAAGCACGCCCATTTCTCCAGCCCCTCGGGGAACAAGCGGATCACGTTGCGCACACAGGGACTCCAGTCGGCAAATGCTGCCTCCAGCTCCCCGCGCGAGGCCGGCGCCACCATCTGCTTGTCATCGAGCCAGCCCCCAGAATCCATGACAAACGCCGTGGCGTTGATCAGAGTATTGTTGGCCACCGGGTAGTGGATGAGATGGGCCCGCGGGCCGACGTGATTGTGCTGGTTCCGGGCCTTGTATTCGCCCAGCGCCGCGATGGCCGCCTCCATCGGGATGAGCGTGCGGTAGGCCACCTCGTGGGTGTAGTGCGGGTATGAGACGGGGCTGCCTTCCCCGAAGAGAATCTTTCGGACACGAGATTTAATGCCGTCGCAGCCGATGATTTATCTCCGTCAGTCAGGCCATGTATAAAACAAAGACATGCATTCATTGGCATCGACCTCCACCCGCGTCCCATCTAGAAACCCCAGTCCAATCTTCTCATCCAGCCCGCGTTCCTCAATCCATTGCAAGCATCGTCGACACCAGATGGCCTCCGGCGGCACGACCTTCACCAACGCCTCCAGGAACTGGACCCGCCGACACCCTTCAAAGCCCCGATATCCGGCATCGATCTGGTACAGCATCCGCTGGTAGGCGGGATCATTCGGATCAAGCTGGTTGTACCCGTCGATCCAGCGCAGGTAGTCATGGGCCTCCTTCACCCCCGCGTTGCTCGCGGAGGTCGCGACCGATCCGCTCGACCGCAGCGCCGTCACGATGGCCGGGTCCAGCTGCTCCATGCACTGGATGGCGTTCGCGGTGAAGGCGATCCCCGCGCCGATCTCGCGGAAGCCGTGTGCTTGCTCGTAGACGGTCACTTGGATCCCGCGCCGGAGCAGGCCGACAATCCCTCCGCCGATGATGGCGATCTCGATGGGTTCGGGGCGGAGTGGGGTGGGCATTTCGCTGTCGTTCGTGTCTGTTGATGAATTTAGGGCTGTAGGTTAATCTTCGGGATATCAGACGAGTATACGCTGCGAGAAATGGAGGCGCCAGGTTAGGGCTGTATGCTAGAAGCCTTATCAAGATCGTCAACAGTATTCTCTCCTCCGGGAGATACATATTCTCTCGTCCGGACGGGGTATCCCATGGCGGAGTAACCGACTGCCCGTGTATTATCTGTATGTCGTTGCGTCCATGACCGGTCAGCTCGGAGTATCTCACACTATCGTATCCGGGTCCATGGTACTCGGGTCAGGAAGACATTCCTGAATGTCATCTGGATGTACTGTCGGCCTGCTGCCTGCGCTCAATAAATTGGTCATCTTGCCGGGATCTGCCCTAGACTCCCATGCCAACGCACCATTTCAACAACTACAATCCTCGTTGCCATTGGTGGCCTGACTCAACAACAGCCATCGAGATGTCTGATTCCAAGCCCGCAGTTCTGCTCTTCGGCTCCCTTTCCCTGTCCTTCGACGAGAAGGCCTTTCAACAGCTGTAGAGGACCATCATAGCTAATGGAAGACACCACTGGGCCTGGGAGACGCTTACGTGCCTTCCCCATTCCTATCAAACGATCGTGGCTGCCGTCCCTGCTCTGGAGTCTGCTTCTACTCTCGAACACCTCCACGACCTCAAGAAGGCCGTCCAACGTCAACAGCCATTGACCATACCTTTCCCTCTGCCGAATTCAGCCCTAATTCCCCTTGTTGTAGTCTTCCAATTGACTCAATATGCGGATATGGTTGAGGATGCCACCATCGACCTGGACCCCCGGGTTGACCTCTTCGCTGCATCAATCCACGGCCAAGAAACATTGGGCTTCTGTACCGGTCTCCTCAGTGCCATCACGGTCTCGAGTGCCCGGAACAAGGAACAGTTCTGCCACTTCGCTGCCGTTGCCGCCCGACTGGGTCTTCTTGTTGGCATGGTCGTCGACGCATGTGATGCCGCGTCTTTGGGGCCGTCACGATCGCTGATTGCCGCCTGGAGCTTAGGGAAGAAGGAGAACGAGCTGCATCAAATACTCCAAGCCTTTCCAGAGATAGTGTACCCCTCGCCCCCCTTCGCGCTGAAAGCCCTAGTTGACCTAAAACAGGCGTATTTGTCAGTCTACTACGATGAGGATCGTGCAACGGTCACCACCGCAGCCTCAACCCTCTCCCCACTGCTGGAACAATGTCGAGCAGCGGGCATTCTAGCTGCAGAGGTCGGGCTATTCGGGCGATTCCACAGTGATGCCCACAGCAATCTTCTTCCAGCTATTCTCGACTTCTGTGACGCCCACCCGAGCTTTCAGTTTCCGGACGCCTCAGAACTGGTCATACCAACACAATCCAATGCCGGAGGAGCTTTCATCCACCGAGGGTTCCTGCACCGCCATGCTCTTCAGCAGATCTTGATAGACCCACCGCAGTGGTTTGCAGCAGTTGACACTGTCCGCAAATCACGGCTGCAAGAAGACGACGCTCATGTTGTCTCCTTCGGCACAGAGCGCTGTATCCCACCCTCTCTCATGCGCACAGTCGGTCAAAAGGTGATCCAAGCGCCCGTGCCTGGGAGCTCGCAGGCTGCCTGGTACACGGATTCCGGCAATGAAATTGCCGTTGTCGGGATGGCGTGCAAAACCGCCGGTGCGGACAACCTCGAGGAATTCTGGGACCTACTTTGCGCGGGGGAGTCTCAGCACAAGGAAGTACCCAAGGAGCGTTTTGGTTTTGAAACTGTCTTTCGAGACGTCGACCACAAGCGCAAGTGGTTTGGGAACTTCATCAATGGTCATGACGAATTTGATCACAAATTCTTCAAGAAAAGCCCAAGGGAAAGCGCTACAATGGCTAGCCGAGCCCTCGGCAGTCCCAAAAGCTCGCACTTTCAATCTATCAACATCATTTGCGACAATGGGTGGAACAACTTGGTGGATGCAACACTGAGCCTGTGGAAGGCAGGTCTGGGTGTGCAATTCTGGGCTCACCAGTCGAGTCAAACAAAGGAGCACCCAATCCTTCTATTGCCGCCCTACCAGTTTGAGCGTTCAAAGCATTGGATTGAACTCAAGACGCCCCCAAGAATTACTTCGGAAGAAGACTTGAGACCAAAGATCATGGAGCAGGACCTGCCGGAGAAGCTTTTCAAGTTCGTCGGGTACGAAGACAAGGCCGAGCGGCAAGCGAGATTCCGTATCAATACGCTGGCCGCCGAGTACGACGAACTCCTTCGTGGACACGTCATTGCTCAGACAGCGCCTATCTGCCCTGCCACTATTCAGCTTGATATAGTCATTGAAGCAGTACGCAGCATCAAGCCAGCTTTCTCATCATCCAAGCTAGAGCCCAGGCTGTACAACGTCGAGAACGCCTCGCCACTCTGCATCAACCTGGGGCAGGCAGTATGGGTCGAGGCGGTTACGGAAGGTAGCGCAGCAACAACTTGGAACTTTCAGGTTTTCAGCAATGACCTTCAGAACGAAGCCCCGCGCACAGTCCATACCACCGGTCAGATCGTCTTTCAGTCCGTCGATGATCTCGCACTGAAACTTGAGTTTGCGCGCCTGGAACGCCATTTCAGTCACGAACAGTGTCTTGATATCCTGCGCAGTAACGATCCAGACGAAGTCCTGCAGAGTAGAAACATCCACAAAATCTTCGCCGAGATCGTGCACTACGGAGAGGAGTATCGCGGGCTGCAGAAGCTGGTGAGCAAGGGAAACCAATCGGCAGATTTAGTAGCCAAGCAGTATAATCCGGAATCATGGCTCGACGGGCATCTGGCTGACAGCTTCTGTCAGGTTGGAGGCATCTGTGTCAGCTGTATGGTTGACCGCACCATGTCAGATATGTATATCGCAAATGGTGTCGAGCAGTGGATTCGCTCTCCGAGATTTCACCAGCAAGATTCGCGGCCTGATTCGTACCATGTTCTGGCGACACATCATCGACCCTCACCCAAGGCGTTTCTAACAGATGTCTTTATATTCAATCCGACAAATGATTCTCTAATTGAGGCCATCTTGAGTATCAGCTATGTGAGAGTACCGAAAGCCTCGATAAGCAGGTTACTATCGCGTCTTGCCATGGGAGACTTCCAGAAGGTTGCGGAAGCTTCCACCTCTGAGCCTTTCCATGGTGATACCGATGCAGAGAAAAAGGTTTTAGCAGTTCCCCAAGCACAGGTACAGAGAGCCAGTCCTTCAGCAACCATCAAAGTGCAGGCACCAGGCAAGTTAGAGACTGCACCAAAGGTGAAGACTATCCTTGCGGAACTCTCCGGTCTCGAGTTGAAGGAGATCAAAGATGACAGTAACCTCGCAGTTCTCTCATGAGAATAGAGTTGGCACATGAGATTGAAGCCGCATTCCAGATCACGATTCCGGAAAATGAGCTCATGGATGTCATCGACATTCCCAGCTTGATGAAGTGTGTGGGAACTGTGATAGGTGGCGGCGTTGTTACTGCAACGGAAAGCAGTGATCAAAGCACTTCTGAGAATGAGGAAAGCGACACAAAGCCCAGCGGCTACACGACGCCGAGTACCGCATCTGAGGTGGCTGAGCCAGCAAAGTCTGTCCAGAACACCGGACTGAACCTTTCCTTTTGCTCTGTGATAGAGGCTTTCAATGAGGTCAAGAGCAATACCGACGACCATATTGTTGATTACAAGCAGGGCAATTACTTCGAGACGGTGCTGCCCCTTAAAGATCAAATGTGTGTGTCGCTCGTCCTCGAGGCGTTCGACAAGTTGGGACAGCACATTCGCAATGCCAATCCTGGTGACAAATTTGTCCGCATTGAACACGCAAGAGAACATGCCCGACTAGTTGACCACCTGTATAGAATGCTCGACGAGGGAGCAGGGCTTGTAAATATCGACGGCGATTGCATCACTCGCACGGCAGTCCTCCCTCCTTGCTCGAGCAGTGAGATCCTTGCAGAACTTGCTACTCGCTTCCCTGACCAGAGTATGGCTGATGAACTCACCTTATACACTGGATCTCAGCTGGCCGAGGTCCTCAGAGGCCAGACAGATGGGATCAAGTTGATCTTCGGAACTCCAAAAGGGCGTGACCTCGTCTTCAACATGTATGCGGAATGGCCGCTCAATAGGCTATTCTACCGACAAATGGAGGGATTCATTAGCCGACTCGTTTCTAAAGTCGACATGGCTCAGGGAGCCATCAAGATCTTGGAGATGGGGGCTGGTACAGGAGGAACGACTAGATGGCTCGTTCCTCTGCTCGCGGAGTTGAACATTTCAGTCGAGTACACCTTCACGGATCTCGCTCCATCCTTTGTCGCTGCCGCTCGCAAGAGATTTGGCAAGCAGTATCCCTTCATGAAATTCAGGACACATGATATTGAACAGGCTCCGGCCGACGATCTTCTCGGCACGCAACACATCATCATCGCCAGTAACGCTGTGCATGCCACGCACAGTCTCAGGGTGTCTGCAAGTAATATCCGCAAGGCCCTACGATCTGACGGTCTCCTTATGGTGCTCGAAATGACAAGTATCATGTATTGGGTCGATGTCACATTCGGGCTGTTTGAGGGCTGGTGGTATTTTGACGATGAACGCACACATGCTGTGACGCACGAGTCGCAGTGGGAAACTGAGCTGCACTCGGCTGGATACGGACACGTCGACTGGACTGATGGTGCGCGGCCAGAGGACAGACTGGAGAAGCTGATTATTGCCTTTGCTTCAGGCGGGAGGTATGAGCGACTCCCGGTCACATCCAATCGAGAGCCTATCGACTGACTGTGCGGCGCGACAAACAGTTATTGACAGATACCTGCGTAAGATGACGGCCGGATGGAAGGCTCCTTCGGTGAAGGTCGGACCCACAAATAGGGATAGAAAATGTATTGTTCTCACAGGGGCAACAGGGAGCTTGGGAAGCCATGTGGTCCAAAAGCTTGCCAGCAGTCCTGGTGTGACGAAGATCATCTGTCTGAATCGACGGAGTCGGCTCGACGCTGATCAACGATAGCTTCAGTCTCTGAGACAGAAAGGCATCTGGCTTCCTGACGATGCGATCGACAAACTCACCATCATGGATGCTGATCTTGCAAGACCGCAACTCGGGCTGTCGAGTCCACAGTACGAATCCCTTGTCTCAACGACCACGCACATTATTCACAACGCCTGGCTCATGAATGCGAAATGGCCGTTAGATCGATTCGAGTCCCAGCTTTATATCATGCGCAATCTGTTAGACTTTGCGTCCGCTGTTGTGGGCCATGGCTGTAACATAGTCACATTTCAGTTCATCTCCTCCATTGCAACAGTCGGTCATTATCCTCTGCATACAGGAAGACCTCGGGTCCCGGAAGCGATGATGGGAATCGAATCTGTTCTCCCCACCGGGTACGGAGACGCAAAGTACATTTGCGAGCTGATGCTTGAGTCGACGCTAAGGCTTCACCCAGACAAATTCCATGCCATGACGGTGCGTCCAGGGCAAATCGCAGGCTCCAGTGAGAGCGGATACTGGAACCCCCGTGAGCATTTCTCCTTCGTGATCAAATCATCACAGACACTCGGCGCCCTCCCTCGCTTCGAAGGCCTTCTGTCATGGGCGCCCGTCGATTTCGTAGCCGGTACAACCGTCGACTTGCTTTTCCGCGACGACCCACCGTATCCGGTCTACCATATTGAGAACCCGATCCGCCAGAGGTGGGAAAATATAATGCCTGTGCTTGCAGATGAGCTGCACCTACCACAGACAAATATAATTCCATTCTCAGAGTGGGTGCAGCGCGTTCGGGAGTATAGTCGACATGCAGGGTCAGAGCGGGAGAATCCCGCCATCATGTTGGTTGATTTCTTGGATGAGAACTTTCTGCGCATATCTTGCGGTGGGCTCTTGTTGGAGACGAGGAGATGTCGCGAGCATTCGAAGACTCTGGCAGATATGGACCCGGTTAGTGAGGATGTGACAGGGTTGTATATCAAGAACTGGAGGGCGATGGAGTTTTTGGATTGATCTTTGTGTTCTTCATGTTGAGATCAGTTCCCTCCCTTGGAGTTGAAGATGAATAGACAGACTGAAAGTGAATGAAGGTTGCTGGTCGTTGATGAAGCTCACTTCCTGTGGGGGGGGGGGGAGGGGGAATCTCTGGACAGACACCGACAGAAAACAGAAATGCATCATATGAGTACTCGTATCTTGTCATTGCGGAGGATCCGATAATCCCCGGAATCGCGAGCAAATGCCCACACCACTCCTGCAGGCCAGGATCTCGCCTCCCAGCGGTGTCCGTGGTGTCAGAAGACTCAACAAGGTGCTGGGCCGCCATGGTGGATCAATCATCGCGGACTCCCACAAAACCCATCTGGGTGCCGCGTTCCGTAGGCGGGGTATGCCATCTATGCCTAGCAGTTCAATACTGTCCACTTATCTGATCTCATAATAAATATCTACGGAGTCTTAGATACACCACAAACTATCGAGTAAGAAGACCCAAATCCAGGATTCAAACAGAGCGGCATCTCGCGTGTGTGCCCTGTTCCTCATGCCTAGAGCCTTGCAAATCATCAAACGAGGCCCTGAGAGAAGCAGCCAACTTTAAAGCCATCTCCTTCAATGCTTTCTTCGCCTCGACGGCCTTCTTGTCTAGTTCATCGATATGCGCTGTCGTAACGTCCCCTATTACCTCTGAACCATCATTGGTTACAGTTTGTATCTCGCATATACTGTCCTGGACCACCTCGCCTAACTCGCACACTTTTATTTTGTGTTCGTCAGCAATCTCCTCGCGAAAATGGTCGACAAGACCAGGCAGTTCTGATCTGATGCTGTCTTGAACGATATCATCAAGTTCTGATTTGATGCTATCGCGTACAATATCCTGCTGTAATTTGAGACTGTTGTGAATTTCCTCATCGATATATCTTTTGATGCAAGGATCGATCAGATGGACGCCAGGAGGGCCAGATACCCCGGACTTTGATGGTAGGGCACCGTCTACATCCCCTGACAAGCCCAGTAGACGATGGTGTCCGGAGCGAATCAATAGCTTGCGAACCTGATCTTCGGGAAGTCGGCTAAGCTTCTGCTCAAGATATCTAAGTGAAAGATGATCCACGTCATCGGGTGATGAAGCATGTATAAAGTGGGTTGGACGGATCGAGTTTGAGGATGGTGACGGAGAGCAAGTACTTGGGGTATTGACTTCGGTAGGTGCTCCAAGCCAGTCTGGTTGTGTAAGAAGCGGCCTTTTGCAACTTTCTTCGAGTGACAGAGACCACCCTAGAGACCATCAACAGGCTATGAAAGCTGAAATCTCCAGTAACTGTGGAGATGGGACATACCTCTGTCCCGTTTGCCAATGGCCGGCTTCAATTCGGGTTGGTCATTGTATTGGGGTGGACTCGCTTGCTCAGCCGGTGTTGATACATGTTCCTCATCATATGGCGGTGGAGAAAGCTTGAATATACTTGGATCTCTCTCGACTACACCATGTCGATGGTGGTCGAAAGACTCTGGCTGAAGGGTTTGTATTCTAGAGCAAAATTTTCTCAACGTCTCAAATTCTCCCCCCTGAAATTGTACCAGGGCAAAGTGTAGGCGTAGAGATTTTGATTGGCAAATATGGGCGAATGCAATGAAATTTGAGTCTTCTGGATCGGAAGAACTCAGAGACTTTGCCCAAGATGGACAAAGAACAACCCCAGGCCTAGCTAAATGTATACTGAGCGTTGAAACATCCGTAGCACCGCTTATAGTTTGTCGTATCTTCGAGGACAATTCCGATGGGCACAGATTAGGTTTGCTTCTCTTAACTAGCGAAGAGTTCTGGACCGCTTTGGGGCAGATTTTCAATGTTAGTGAATCCGATCTGTCAGTGGAGTTAGCAAGGGCTGCCTTGATACTAAGAAAGATAGATCCTCGCTCGGGGTCGTTGGAGTAGGCAATGCGACACCTGGCATCGCAAGAATGTTTCGTGCCCGGTACAGAAACGACAACTTTCTTGGACAAAACCCAGTGCGACTCTTGCGATACAGGCGACATTGGATAACCTCTAAAGTTCCTTAGGTTTTAGAGATTCCCTCGAATGATCGAGTAGCCCTCCCACCCGGGCTTTGGAAAAGCGATGAGCAGCCCTGGCTCCGGCGGGTGAGAGATCAGGGATAGAAGTGAGAGGACAACAGTAAAGAGACCGACCGAAAGCTCCTGCGGCCTGGCCACAAGCACATGCTCACTCCAGGGAAGAAGTTGGAGAGTCCTATGAAAACACAGGAATGGCACGCCAAGCAGCGAGAACGGCAAGAAGAAAATGATTCCTTGATTGACGGACGACAACAAAGGTATCAAAAGCTCTTGCGGCCTAGCCACACGTACGTACCCAATCCAAGATCCAAACCTGGAGTCCTATGAGAACACAGGAACGGCAGGACCAGCGGCGAGAACAGCAAAGAGCGAATCGTTAAGTCCCTATACGTTATTAGGATAATGGAGTTGATATCGCACCGAGCGAAGGTGAAGCATGAGATATCTAAGGGGGTAAAAAGGGAGTGAGGAGATTGTTGGGGGCGGGGAGGTGGTTCTGGGGAGAGGATCGATACAGAACTCAAGGGACGGGAAAGGAGGCTCTGCCCACGTGATCTTGACAGGTGACCTCATTTTCCCTGGCAGGTCGAGCACAGACTTCCCTGGGTCAGGTGACCAGACCACTATTGCGATTAACTTACTTTGTACTCCGTACTTTGTGCTAGTTCCTTTCAACATTTTCTGACGGTCATCCTCTGCCGTTAATATAATATCTCTTGGTAGCTTATGGAAAAATAGAGAGATGGAGGCAGCGGCAGTAAGAGAGATGTGCAGTGGCACTATCAACGTCATTATTACTTCTCTACGTCCTCTATGTCGACTCGATAAATCAATATCAAAACATACTATGCTCAATCCTTTCCTTCTTTACGCTGGTGTCTAGGATAGCATTGGCACTCGGAATGGAAGATAAAAACCATGGACGATCGCTTTTCCTTGAGAAACCAAAAGAAAGCATCTATAGTACAGTCTATATACTAGGTTTTATGTCAGTGGTGCCGTATAGAAGCGATATAGCCTCCTTGGGCAAAATGATGCAACGCGAGCACTAGAGGTAACAACCAGTCAGTGAGAATAGAAGATAGAAAGAGAGAGAATAAGGAAAACTCACAGAAGAGCATAATCAGCGCCAGCGCTGGAAGTACCCACGGCGATTGGCCTACTGCCTGGCTCTTTCCGGAGATGTTCATGAGACTGAGCAGCGCCAGGCCCAGCCCCACGAGCGCGATGGTCCCCGTGCTGACGCGGCGCATGCGGAAATGATGAGGATCACGGGGAAGCGATAGGATTGCGAAGACCGTGGTGAAGATCAGGAAGAGACCCGTGCAGATGCAGAAGTATCCTGGAGGTGAGTGAAGATGTTAGACGGTACTTGAACCTCTCAGGTCGATCAACACGAAGGATCGGAATGATGTGACAAGTCCAAAGAGAAACAAAGATGATGGAGGACGATGTACATACCAAAAGTAAGATCAAAGACCTTCATGACCGCGTCTGTCACCTCTTGGAACGTGAGATTCGCTTTGGCCGCCACTTCCTTGGGGATCTTCCACCCGAAGTTGTGCACGATGATGGTCACCGTCTCCATGATGGCCGGCCACGCCTTCTCGATGAACTCCGTCCCCGTCGCGTTAGGGGGCAGCGCGATGGTCGCGTTGTAGGCGCTTTCGATGGTGTAAAATTGATCCATGTAGGTGGTGAAGCGGTTCAGGACGTCGTCCAACGCCTCCCCCAGCATATCCCTGAGTTCGTCGACCGGGGTATTGCTGTTGATCCCGCTCATCAGGGGATTGAAAAGCTGGCTGATCCCGGCCCAGAGGTATGCCCAGATGAAGATTTGGTTGATCCCTTCCATCATGAGACAGAGGCAGACGTGGAAGGGGAAGTGGAGCATAGCCCACAGGTGCTGGCCGATCGGACCCAGTGCCTCGACGCTGCTGATGTTGTCGAAGTACAGTTGGTAAGTCAGGTACTGTGATAGAGAGGAAGTCCTGGTTAGAAATCTTTCTTTCTAGCTTGACAAGGGGCAGGTACTCTTACAATAATCAGCACGGATGATATGAGAATTCCAATGTCCTGGGGGAAGAACCGCGGTCCAGCTTCCCGATCATGCTGACAACCTTGGTCAGAAGAATGATACCCTCGCTCAGCTATCAAAAAGTGGTTTAGTATCTTAGATGAATACGCCTGGAGAGTTATACATACGATAATCAAAGTCAAGCAGGTCATTCTCTCCACGAGATGGGTCTTCTCAAGCGAGAGCGCCGGCCAAACCGCGGCCACGACCACGTTGATACCCACCTCGGTCACGGAAACGCAATACCACGCGATATAAGCATCCCATATAGTGCGCAATTGAAACACAAACGATATACCAAGAAAACAGCTGCAGCGGCCAGCAGCGAGAACAAAATGATCAACAATGGCGCGCGAGTCTTGCAGTAATGCCACGTGAAGTACAGCGTCATGCCGTACTGGCATGCGAGTACCAAGCGGCTCACCATGAGGATCAGCGACAGCTGCTGCATGGGGCCCCAGGCGTCCTGCCTCAGGAAGTTGGGCCGATGACGGCCAGCCCCATCATCACGCCGAAATGGCACGCGTGGGCCACACGCTCGAAGATGCTGTCCGTGGCAAACCGGACGTCGTACAGACTGACATGGCACCAGGTGAACCACAAGATACTGATGAAGCCGACATAGGACGCCAGCACTGGACAAATATTAAGCAAATCCATTCCGCGAAGACTGATATTGTTTAGGGGAGGAGTCGGCCACATACTCTTACTGCTGTTCACATCGTGGGCAGTCACAAAGGAGGTCAAATTGGCCACGAAAAACAAGTCGAAAACAACTGGATGTTGGAGGTAGCCTCATAGTGTTCGAACTGAGGGTTCTCGAACAAGGTCTCATCGTGTGTGTCCAGGCCGAGCTCACCATCAGACGTTGAACTCTGCCGCGTGCTGCTCTTGGACTTGAACGGGTGCTGTTAGTCTTTGAGTTTTGCGGTTCGTGAAATCAAGACGTACCAAGGGGCTTGTCACAAAAGGGATTCGACCCATTTTGTATGACAGGAGAGAGAAGCTCTCAGAATGTAGGTAGACATAAAACTGCTGTTGACGCTTGGGAATCTTGTCCCTGATCTTCCTCTTCCTCTTCACCGTTGCATATCACAAAGCATGGTTTAGCTTGTCGAGCGAGATCTATGGTCTAGCTCCTTTGTCGGCCTTATATATGTTGGAAGTAGTTACAGATCGCGTTTGGACAAGCCACAGGAAGAAAAGCAATTCCATCTTGCCATGAGGCATTTCAGTTGTGCACTGGGATGATAGCGAACGGTTTCAGGAGAGAGTATGCTGTGTTTGGGGTGAACCTCGTGTTGTCGCATGGCTTCGGAGATCGTGCTGACTGCATATAACTATTCCTACACCTGGATTTGCATTGAGTCATTGGCCACATCAAGATCTTGGGGCTGTTAACTGCGTCTGTCATACCGAAAGCCGCTCAGCCTTATCGGTGTTGAGGTTGCACAAGATTTCAGGCGGTGGAGGCTGGATCTCGTTGGCTTCTATATCGGGAAAAGCTGCGGGAAAAATCCCAGACTTTAGATAAAGATAGGCATCCAGGTTGCAACATCACCAAGCCTCATACTACAGCTTCATGCGACAGAATTTTCACTCTCGCTGCAAAGATGCGCATGGTGATGTGCTCTGGATGCAGGGCGCTAGGATTATCGTGGTCTGTCAATACGGTCTTTGGTTAGTTCATGAGATATAGCCAACTGATAAGTTAGCACGTACAGGAAAAGAAAAGCCCCACTCAGCTGCTGCAACTCAAAGACAGTCGACAAACGTTCTAGATTCTCCAAATGATGCACCGGATATGAGACCTGAGATGAGACCCGGGATGGGAGGCCGGGACAATCCATGCTGTGCCGACCAGTTGGGCCGTCACTTCATCCAAAACTCATTCAAATCCACTAGAATGCTTCCTTCACCTATCAGTTCTCACCAACGTTGGGATCAGTCACACTCAGCTGGCGACTCCAGGACAGTTGAGGACCGTTCTGGATTCTGCAAACGATTGACCCGAGGGGAGAGGCCAGGACAACCCATGCTGTGCCGACTAATCGGACCGGCACGCTATCCAAGATTCAGTCGATCCACTCGAATGCTTTCTTCACCTTTCAGTTCTCACCAACGTTCGTATCAGTCACACCCAGCTGCAGCAACTCAAAGACAGTTGAGAACGGCTCTGTATTCGCCAAAGGATCCACCCGAGCTGGGGGGACCAGGACCATCCATGACGTGCCGACTAATCGGACCGTCGCTTCATGCAGCAATTCGCTCGATCTACCAAATGGCTTCATCTTTCAGGTCCCACCAACGTTGGATCGTTCCAGCCTGGTGTTGATGGTTTCGTGTTCGATTGCTCTCTCCGACGGCGAGGATGCAGTGACTGATAGAGAGAAAGAAGAGTGGTAATTGCTTGTACTGTACTGTTCACCAATGGGAAGGCCAGGAGACGCGAGAGAGGTTAATTGACAACTGACGGCTTGAATACTGTTCGTGGCTGGTCATCTCTCACAAGATGCTACTGTAACCTACAGAGCGTCTGAACCGGGGATCTCCAGCTCGGGCAGGTTGCAACATCTGGAGGCAATCACATCGGCCCATTGTGGGTCGCAATGCACATTCTGCAGGAGAATATGAATGATAACTAGGGTAAATCTTGAACAAAGAGCGTTCCACTAGAAGCATAATCTGGGTTATCATTTGTGGTAGCAGCGCTATGAGAGAACTACAGAATACCCCTTCCTTCATGGCTCGATGAAACCTGGCCTAAATTAAATCAAAATGTGGGGGATGGAGCGATACCGGGCTAACAGAACACACGGGGAGTATGAGAGAGAGTTGCGCTGAGGTAATGGATAATAAGGCGATGTGAATGTGATGGCGGCACCAGCTTTATGCAATGTAAGCAATCTCGTCCCCATCCAATCGCTCGATATAGTCCTTCTCCATCAGAGCCTCGATATTCTTCTTGATGTCGGGGACCTTGGGAGGGAAGCGAGATTTGACTTGTTGGATCACTTCTTGAACCAATTGTACGTGCTTCATCTTCTTGCGAGACTTCATGATACGGACAATCGCAGACTAGAACAGCATTAGGCGGGGTACAAATTCAGGGGGTAGGACGAGGAACGTACCTGAAGTAAGAGCTTACGATCCTCCTCAATTGTCTTGTGTGTGTCATCCGACTCGACCTTCTGCTCCGACTTGATTTGAATGTTGAGGTTAACCTTGATCTTCTTGTTCTTGAAATTGTAGTTCAGAGTGAAAGACGTTCCAGGCTCCGGTTTGGATCCTTCGGAATTGATAGTCAGAACTTTAGCCTTGAGGAAAATGCTGAGGTTGGGATCAAGAATTTCAGGCGAAAGGGAAGTGGCTTTTTGAATATCCTCGTAGCTTAAGGTGTCGTGCTCATTGAAGAGTAGAAGTATGCCCATTTGGAATGTGGATACCTGGAACGTGTAGGGTACTTTGGTGTTCTTGATGTAGTTGGCCTTGATTTCACCCTTGCATAGCTGCCAAAGCCATGTCAGCTTTCTGCCACTGTGCTTGTCAAAGTAGAAGCTCTGGAATCGTTCAGATGTCTTGACGATTTCGGGTGGTGCAAGGAAATCGGTGGTAGGCGCATTGAGAGGCCAGAATCCGGTACCCAGGATCTGGAAATGAGAGTCGACCAGCTTCCGCCGATCATCTTCATCGAGTACCTTCTCTTGCCAGTCCCGGTAGCTGGCGTTCAGGTCCTTCGAGATCTGAATGTCTTGGAACATGCGCTGCAGCTTGTTCGTGTATTCAAAACCGCACGCCTCCTTGAGCTTGCTGATCATGCTGGTTTCTGCATCGTCGGACACGGAGCTGACATGTACCAGACGTTTAGCGAGCATCTTGGAGTAGAACTTCTGGAAAACATCCTTGTCCTCGATGTACTTGAAGACAGTCATAATTTGCACCAACATCTCTTCCAACTCAGACTCCTCTGCAGCTTTGGAACCCTTCTTCAATAACGAATCGGTATAGCGCGCGAGCAATTCGGGGGTCTTTGTCGATCCGGACCTGCAAATCTTGTTGCGGTTGACAAACTCGCGGCAGGCATTATCCAGAGAACGGACAAACTCGGACTCACCGTTAAATGCCTCGCTGACCAAGCTTTGATACCTGGTATGTACCTGTAACAATGCGTCCACGTACATCTTAGGCTCGAACGATGTCTCTCCGTCGGCGGCCACCTTCTCAACGGCGGCCAAGCCAGCCTTCCTCACATGAGCTTCAAACTTAGTCCGGAGAGGATCCAGACCCTCTTTGATGCGAGACAGAAGTCTATACATCCGAGCCAAATCATCTTGACGCTCGTTGTCCAGCAGAACCTGGAATTCATCTCGGAGGAGTTCAGAGTGAGCTGTGACCAGCACATCCAGACAAGTGTCGGTCAGATGTTTCGAAATGTCCGGGTGCAAGTACAAGCCGACACGAGCCTTTTCTTCCTCCAGACGGGCTTCTGCTTTCTTCATGTACTCGACCACGCTGTTCTCGGTAACAAATTGCCGCGACTCGTTTTCGTAGTAAACTCTGGTGGCGGAGATAAATGGCTTCTCGAAGTGGTAGCGGTAAACCTCGAGCGTTGACCTGGTGCTGTCAGTCTCGTCAAGGCCCAGGGAAACGAACGAGTCGACGATGCTCTTGATCTGTGACTGCTCAATAGTCTCGCCGTTACGCTGCTTTTCGACCAGGTTCAGTACAGCCTCCATAACCTTCTCATGAACCTTCATGAAGAAGTCGTCCTTCCATTTCACCAGGTGCAGCGTGTAAACATCGTAGACATTCTTCTTTCCCTCGTCGATCTCGCGTTTGACCCAGTGTCTGTTTAGGTAACGAAAGAGATGGTTGATGTACTTGGCGGCAGTGGTGTAGCGAAGCCATTCGCGAATATAGAACCCCAACAACGCCTCCTCCGCATGGCTCTCGGATTCTCTATACACAGCGTCCAAGTGACGTGAGAGGTATTCACCTAGTAGTTTGTAGAGTTCCTCCCCGAGGAGATGGGCTGCAGCGGTGATGTCAATATACGTTGCAGCGCTGACCCACATAGATCTTGGCCGGAGGGTAGAAGGGACGAAAAGACTGACCGCCGCGATGAGCTTGTAAACCGCTGCCGCTACCAACGGCTTTCTGTGATGTGCAAAAGTTGTGGACCGCTCTAGATTCAAACCCGTGAGTATTCTTGGTGGAGTGAACGCCTTGAGGTCAAACCATACGTGTAAAGGGCCATGTACTAAGCCCGGGTGAAGAGAGGTCAGCGGCGCGACAAGTAGCGAAAACCAGTCCAACATGAAAAGAGTGTCGAGGAACATACAGTTTTCATGTCAACTCCTTCCTCTAGTTTGAGCATCACACTGTCGATGCCCTTCTCCAAGAACGTCCATCTACCTGAGTCAGCCG